AATGCTAAAGCTGTGAAGAGTGTGGCAAGTAGGAATAGAATACTTCATAACTGAAGTTTGTTAAAAATGGAATTTGTTAAAGCAAAGGTTCGGAAGTATTTTCAGACAATCCCCCTTTTATGTACCTCTAAACTGTTAAGTGCGTTCATGTTGTCTGAAAATTAATTCTACTGAAACAGAGGATCGGGAGAAGAATTCCCAGACAACTCCTCAACCTATCACATCTCTCTTCCGGTCTCATACAGGTACATAAATGCCAAGTACCTCTTTTCCCATCATGCTTAGCATTTCCAGCATCCCTCTTCTTCCCCTTCTTCACCTTTATCTTCTCCTTCTCTTTCTTCAGGAAAGGCAACCTAATCTATGCTGTTCTCCCAAATTCTTTCAGTTACCTTAAAGGGGGGTTTCCCCTTACCATGAGGACAGATAATACTTCTCCCCCTTTGCACTCCAAGCCCAAGTACATTCTCTACAATATCTCAATAACATTTCTTATCAATAAATCATTTTTAAATGCACCATTGTTGTCTGAGAATTTGTACTACCGAAACCCTTTCGGCCCTACTTGGCAGAGGAATAACCAGGATGGAGGATACTTTAAATCGCTGCCTATCTCCGCTTATTCATAAAAGTTTCATGGGCTTGGATCAAACGTTTTCTTTGGTTGAGGATTTCTGTAAGGTGGGTCTGATTTTTTATGCGCTGCACATGGGAAATTTATCAGAAGGACATGCTCTAGCAAAGACTTTCTCCAGATGTTTCCCCGTCTTCATGATGACGTCACATTGACAAAATTCATTGTGTTTGTTGTCTCTGTTGTAGGAGGTGGTGGTGTTGTATTGTGTTGTACTGTAATCAATTATAACTTTATTTGATTACTATGAAAATAGCTGCTGCTGCAACCAAATCAAATGACTGGTTTACTGTGTTGTGTCATCTGTCAACCTGTCAACGGGCAAAAACCGTTTCCATTGCTAACATATGTATCATCAGTGTACTTTTGTATATAAGCGCTATGGTAACTTTTCCCGCTCTGATATTGTTATTATTTCTTTTAAGGGCCCATGCAGAGCAGTAGAGTCTGTTGCACTTATTTTTTAAGCGTGTTTTCCGCGCAAAACCAGCATTTGCTTTGCTTTGTCCGGAGCTGGCGACTGGAGATGGGTTTAGCTTGTAGATATAAACTGTTTATGCAGCTCGGTGCTGGAGGACGCGTGGGCTGGATTACATAAGAAAACAAAAGAGAGAAGAGCTCAACGGTCCAGCCTCAACCTGAGGCATTTTTCAAATTTCTTATTGAAATTATCAAGGGGAGGGTTTTACCTGACAAACAATACCTTGTTTTCTCATATGTTCCTTACCATTTTATGTAGACGATAGCCCGTTTTTATTTTTATTGGAATGATGGGTATTGTGTAGCTGAGGGCTGAGGCTCCTGCCTGCATCCTGAGCATAATAATAATAATAATAATAATAATAATAATAACGATAATAACGATAATAATAATAATAATACATTTATTAATATAGCTATTTTCTTAAAGAGTATGTAGCTCAAGGTGCTTTGACAGTTCAGTGCAGCCTTATGATCCCATCACAATAAAACCATATCATAACAATGAGTAAGAATGAATAAAACAACAAGAACATTGAATAAAAACAATGAATAAAACATAACCACCAACTCAAGTCCTTCAGGTGAGGAACAACTCTACTAGTCATCCGTAGGGTCAGGAGAAGTCAGATTAACTCAGTACATTCCATTTTTTCTCTCTCGGCCTGTGATTGGTCAGGAAACATAATTTGACGTTTTAAGGGAGGTGATCCTCCTTTCATGATGAATGTCCAACCACCGGCGAAACTGATCATAGATCAGTGTTTTACTTAAAGATGCTTCAACAGGTTGTGAAAAAAAAAAACACTTGTTATTTTGTCCAGTGCTGACAGGAAAGACAAAAGACAAAAACCGTCCACAGCATTTGTTAAAACTTTCCATTGTTTGACGTAGTGTATTGTTGTTCTCCCGATGTTGTAAAATTGTCTTTACTTTAACCTTTCAACATTATGCAGAGAGTAGAGACTTTTACATGGAAAACATGTACTGGTGACTTAAGAAGTGAATCGTAAGAAGTCCGTTAGTAGTATCTTATCTTAGGTTTCAGTGTCAGAAGAACTGTGTCATAGAGTGAGTCATTTCGAGTAAAGACTATGAATCTAGCAGCTGACATTGCTCAGGTAGATGTTTTTACGTGTTCTGTGATTTGAGTTAACACCTTCAAGCGCTTGAAGTGATGGAAACTGTCCAAAAAAAACAGTTGGGCTAATTATGTCCAAAAAAGTGGATGGGCTTGTTGCTCTGAAGTACGTTGCTTTCATCGGAGGAGAAGTAAACTTCCCGTGACTTAACAGTTTCCATTCAATCCCGACCTACTATAAGGCGCCTTCGTTTTGTTCACTGGAGATATCGCTGTGTCCAAATGAACTATATACATCGTTTTTTCTAATTATACAATCTGCTGACTCTGCCCATTATAATCACATTATCATCTCAACGCTTTATCTGCATGATTCAAATGTTTATCCGTCCAGGGTGAATCAGATAGCAAACACTGAAACCCCCTGCTTGTCCAAACCCCAAAGCAAAGAAAACATTATAGTCTTTAAATAAATGTTGCCATGTTACTATGGTTAAAATAAACAAACATGTGTTGCAAAGCCCAATGGTGATTTCAGATTTAGTTCAGATTTTGTCATGATCCTCACTTACAGAAATAATTAAGTGATTACATATATATTTATTTAAAGTTTACTAAATAATTACATTATGCTGTGCACAAGCATTTGAGATACTACGGGTTACCTGCTCTGTAACAGAGCCAATCAGATTACCTACTTCATTCAGTCAGGTTACTTGCTCTATCTGAGATGGCATAACAGAACCAATCAGATTAGCTGCTCTATCTGAGATGCTTTAACTGAGCCAATCAGGTTATCTGCTCCATCTGAGCTGCTGTAACAGAGCCAATCAGGTTACCTGCTCTATCTGAGGTGCTTTAACAGAACCAATCAGGTTACTTGCTCTATCTGAGATGGCATAACAGAACCAATCAGGTTACCGGCTCCATCTGAGGTGCTTTAACAGAGCCAATCAGGTTACCTGCTCCATCTGAGGTGTTTTAACAGAGCCAGTCAGGTTACCTGCTCCATCTGAGGTGTTTTAACAGAGCCAATCAGACTAGCTGCTCTATCTGAGGTGCTTTAACTGAGCCAATCAGGTTACCTGCTCCATCTGAGGTGTTTTAACAGAGCCAGTCAGACTAGCTGCTCTATCTGAGCTGCTGTAACAGAGCCAATCAGCTTACCTGCTTCATCTGAGGTGCTCTAACAGAGCCAATCAGGCTACTTGCTCTATCTGAGATGGCATAACAGAACCAATCAGCAGTCATACAGTCCACTGCCTGAATGTACACCAGAAAAGAGACCAAAAATGCAACATTGTCAAAAGGAAGATAGAAGGGGGTGGGGGTAACCTCATCACGGTTTGACTGAATATCTGTGCTCTGAGTAGTAAACGGCATTCACAGACCAGGTGCCCTCTATGACAATAGGCCCCTACTGTTTCAGGGATATACTACCCTCCCACCCTCTCACGGACTACAATAACAGCGTCTTTTGTGTCTGACATGCTCTGGCACTTATCTCAACCACTGAAAGACATTCACAAAATGAGTCTGTCTCCATCATGGATAGCTCTTGTTGATGTGAAGATTCGTGGGGGTCTTCCATACAAGAATGATGACTAACCACAATGACTTTCAATGGACATACAGGGGGTCCTCTACTTACGAATGAGTTCCATTCCTATGACTTGTCGTAAGCCGATTTTCGACGTAAGTTGGAATTTATACCTAAATTAACACCTTAAGTCACTCACACTGTACACACGACACATGAAGGACATATAAAATACAGTAATTAAATGAAACATTAATAAAAAAGAGAGAGAACAATTTCTTATCTGTATTTCTGTGGTTGTATTTACGAACCAAACTGCTTAGGTCGAAACTAGGTTTTTTAAGTAATTTATGGGAGTGCATCGTAACCACGAAACTGTCGTAACTCAAGACCGTCGTAACCCGAGGACCTCCTGTATTTGCAATCTGTTTTTACATATAACTTCTTCTCCTGGTGGTGGGGTGGGCAACCCATGGTCTCATGCGGGTTTGCCGCAGCTTGGATGTGCCGCTTTGTGTATGCCGTTTCTCCGTATGCTACGTTTTACAGCCTGCTGCTATGAGGTGGTCGGTCTCTAGGGCTTCTTTACCCAGGCTGCACCTTGGGTCCTGTCTCGTGTGGTACGTCCATGCTGCTGGTTCAGCTGCTGTTCGCTGCCCAATCAGTGCCTGCTTCGGCTGCTCTGATCAGTGCTGTTCTTCAGTCCAGCCTTTCCCAGCCGCTAGTAGAATTCCCCAGTGTCAGCCACCTCTGCTATCTGCTGATGGACCAAGCCATGGAGGGGATGGTCTCGCCATGGGACCTCCCCTAGTTTGCTCCTCATCCACCTGTCCTACCTGGAGGTATTCTTCAAGTGGTTCAGCCGTTTTACTGATGTACTAGAGGTTGTTTCGTGCTTCATCAAGGACGTCGGTCTTGGTGCTCGATAGGTCCAGGTCCATCTCTTTCTGGCTGGTGTACTGTCTCTGGGTACTGGACATTGGATGGAAATGTTTAGCCTACTTCTCCCAGCAGAATTGCTTCAACTCAATGACATCTGTGAGCTGCTTGTTGAAGTCATGTAAGAATATCCTTATGGGTCTTGGGTCTGGATTTTGATTAAGCCACTCCAAAAAATGTGAACTTCTTGATCTTTACACTTTCTTATGCAGATCCATGCATGGGATCCTGGGGTAATGTGGGAGTTCCTGGACAAAGTTATACCTTTGCTTGGAGAGATTTTGACAGGACAGCCACTCATTGAAAGATCCACTTCCCAGGCTTTCCCTTTGATAGCTCAGCTGGTGCAGCTGAGAACCGTAGGTTCACTTGTTAGCCATCCTTAGGTCACTGGTTCAAATCCAGCCCACAGGGGTACCCTTTGGGTAGTCTTGTGGTTAAGGTGCATGACTGGGACCACTGAGGCTCTAGCCACAGCACGGACACCATTGCTGTTGGCCCTTGAGCAAGGACCCTAACCCCACATTGCTCCCAGGGGGGACCGGCCCTTGGTTAGCCTAATCCAACTGTAAGTCACTCTGGATAAAAGCATCTTCTAAAATGACTGTAATGTAATTTGGATAGGATAGCTGATCATGGATCTCCTTTTATGTGACATGATGTTCCAGTATATTGTGTGTGATGATAGTTTCAATTCTGATGGTAAGGGTAAGAGTTGGTAAGAGTTATACAAGTTTATAACGGGCAGAGCTGGTTCAAATCAGGCCTGATTCTATATCAGAGCGTCCCATTGGCTGATCCCGCTCAGCTCTTCAATTCAGCTGAGCTAACTGGGTTGTGGTTTACGTCTCCACACCTGAAACTACCAATGCTGATAATTTGAGGAGAAACAATATTTACACGCTGCAACTGCAGACTACAAAAATATTAATGTACTTATGGTGGCCATTGTGGCCTTGTGAATTGACACGATTATAGGAAAAAGCTTATAAGATTGGAATCACACATAAACCCATAATTAGACTAATCTCGGATCTTTGAGGAAATGATTTAGACCTCTGGGTTTTACCTAACATTTGGAATTCCCTTCAAAAATGCACGAGATATTAATGTCAGTAAGCACTTAGAAATACCACTTTCAAATATTGGTATTTAAAGCATAGAAGCATAGATCCATGTCTTTTATATTGTAGGCCCCAAAGAGGCTGGGTCTTATGGGATTGGCTTGCCAGCTTTGGCTATTTACCTTGGTAATAGCATTACAGGTCAGCCAGCTTTATGAATCACAGTGTGGACCTGACGTTCAAAAGAAGACAAAGGATAATACCACTGTTATGATTCCAATGAACAGTAAACACTTAGCCTTTGATGCTCGTCTCTAAGTGCAACGGACTTCCTGTCAGGTGTTTATGCCTGAGAATGCGCACGGAGGAGCACACAGACACACACATAGACACTCACACAGAGACACACACGCAGACACTCACATAAACACTCACAGATACAGAGACACACGTAGAGACATACACAGAAATGCAGAGACACACAAACAGACACACACAGAGACACTCACAGACACAAAGAGACACACATAGAGACACACACAGAAACACAGTGACACACACAGACACAAAGAGACACACACACAGACACACACAGAAACACAGAGACACTCAGAGATGCACACAGACACACATACAGCCTCACACAGAGACACACGCTGACTCACACAGAGGTGCACACAGACACACACATAGACATACACACACACACACACACACACACACACACACACACACACACACACACAGATACACACAGAAACACAGAGACACTCAAGGACACAAAGAAACACACATGGGGACACACACAGAAACACAGTGACACACACACACACACACATAGAGACTCACACCGAGACTCACACACAGACACTCAGAGATGCACAGACACACATAGAGCCTCACACAGAGACACATGCTGACTCACACAGCGATGCACAAAGACAGACACACAGCAATGCCACAGATACACACACAGACACACACAGACACACAAATACAGACTGAGGACCCCAGTCATAACAAAACCCTGTGCAGTATTCAAAGCCAGGGTGGAGTGCCTCGATACCAAGCCCTCAGAAAACAGAGATCCACTGCACATTTTTAAAACTATTTAAATTCTTTGTTACTTCTTAACTTTACAAAAGAAATTGGCTATTGTTTTATCCAAACACAACTACATACTGTTCATATGAACAGAGATTGTATATGCAGAAATAGCTGTATTTATTCATTATTTTAAATTTGGGGATATTTCTATATTTATTTCAAAATATCCAAGCCCAGATTTGGTCTATTCCATGGGAATGCTATGCTAATCTGTTACTCTGCTTAAAATCTCTCAAAGGCATACCCTAAACTTTGGACAAGGTTTCCAAAAATCTGCAAAGTTTTGCAGAATGATTTTTAGACACTTGCAATTCCATCTAGCTGATTCTCAACCCTGACTGAGTGGATCTAGGAGTTCTGTTGCGTAATATCAGTGCATATAGTGCGGGCCAAAAGAATTACACAACTTGTGGCTCTGTGCTCTACACTATCTTAAGTTTGTGTGACTCATGACTCATTATCATGGAGTACATTTATACATACAGTTAACAACAAACAGTAATTATCAATGAGAGCAGATCATGTTTCTGGTACTGGTTGCCAAATGAACACTCATCCAGTTATTTGGTTGTTTGAATCCAGTATCCCGTATACGATTATTGCCGCTGTTACTTCTTGTTGGAATGACCGTGTTCCGGATTTTGAGTGTATTTGTGAAAGACAACATTACAGATGATAAACAGAAAAGATGGGGAACGCGGTTATTCTCCAGCGGGTGTATGTGATCCCTCTGTCCGCTGTGAGAGGTTCCAGCGTATAAATTACAATAGTAAGTGAAACGTAAGGACATGAAAACCTTCACTGCGGTATTACGGGGAATAGTCGCACACAGCTACTCATTGTGTACATGAAAGTAATGTAAATGCGGGACATGAGGTCAGAATCTCACCCTGTGAACGAGCTCCACAAAGTCGAGGTGAGATTGCATTACACGGAGGCTTGTTCAAATGCAAAATACCTATTAATACCAGTGAGTCATCATATTAAAATATGCCTGTTCATGCGAAAAATATATCAAGTTCCAAATCATTATCTTGTTTGAGCGCTAAAATATTTGGCCCACAGCGAGATCTTATCGGAGCCATACTAGCGGTTTGCAAAAACAATAGTTTGTTTCAGGGTGCTTCTCCTTGTGTGTTACCTCCGGGGGCTCATACTGGTCCTGTCTGTGATCTGGACATGTCACCAAAAATGAATGCAGTTTTCATTCACATCTTATAACACACGGATATTAGATCTGGGAGCTTTGCCCATCTGGTAATTTGAAGTGCAAAGCATCATTGTTGGGAAGTCCCTCAGTCATGTGATTTTGTTGCTTAATTAGATCGTTATTGCCCAATGGCACAGTAGATTGTTGTGTACTGTTGCCGATGGCTATGTGTAGCCTCTAGTTGTCATGGTGACCTAAGGTACAGATTGACATTGCCTTCATTTTTTTCTTGTCAAAGTCAAACAGCGGATACAGTCAATGCAGATCATTGTAACATAATAGTTATCTCCTCATATAAAGAAAAGAAAATAATAAAAGCCTCCCACATTTTAATTTAATGTCCATTAACGCTTGTCACTTTCGAATGTCGGTTTACGATTATCGTCATCTGGAAGACGGCAATGTGCTCACAAGCTAGCAATTAAAGATGATTAAAAGTGCTAAACCAAAGTTTATAGCTTGCACGATGTGAAATGTGGAAACTAAATGCCCTCAGAGGCGAAAAGAAAGTTGGTTTTCTTTCAATATCTAACCCTGGCCTTGACTGCATAAAAACTTCGAGTATTTTCAAGTGTGAATGGAGTGGTTTGCAGTAACTGCCTACATCACACGGAGAGAAATGCTGATGATGTATGTAGCAGGAGCGCTGCTGTGAAATACAAAGGCGAATGTCCGTCGTGTCGAGCGTGGGCTTACGATAAGGTTTTCTGCTCCCCCACAGCATGTTTCAGCATTCCGCGCTTCAGCCAGAGGAATGTGATTCCAGGGCGCTAGCCAAAGAGCTGTTAGCGAGTAGCGCAGGTAAATGGAGCAGCGCGAGGAGCTCCGTCAGGCCTCCCCGGCGCGCGCTGGAATGCCTCTGATGATGAACCAATCCCAGGCCTCTTCAAGCACAGATGCGCTGGAGTTCCAGTGAGGAATCATGGGAATGATAACGATCGATGTCATTCACAGCATCCCTTTGTGTTTTTCATGCAATGGAAGGCTGGCCAGTTCTCCACTTTTGGCACTTAAAGGGACTATTTGATTATCACACCTACTTCAGATGTAGGTTTTGAGGTTTTGTGAGACCTTTTTCAAAATGTTTGAAATGTCAATAGAAGTCAAGAAATTTCAGTATCACTGGCCGTCCTGTTATTATCGTTTGAGGTCTTTCTGAACTCACCAAAAAGGCACAATAAATAATGAAAATGATCAAAGATTTTAGTTTAAGGGGGGAAGAAAATGAGTTTTAAAATAGTTTGGTTTTATTATTTTTAAGCAGTCTGCAGCCTCAGTCTTTTCTGAGCCAGTTGGAAACGGAGGTGGAAAGCCGGAGGTGGAGCTCTGTGCTTCTGTGTGGAGCCAAAGCAGAGCTCCTGTCTGCTCCTGTCATCAGCTGGAGCGTAATCCCAAAATGGCCAAACAGAGATGGACACGCTCTGTCCTTTTTCCAGCATGGGAGATTACTGGCAGAGCCAAGGAAAGTATGGGAGGTATTCTAATGTTGTGTGTGGTTTTTGTTTTTTGTGCAACTTCATTATTTTATCAAACTGGAGCAGCATTCTTAGAAGGAGACTCCATTCTGTAAAGGAAGGCCATCATTCTTAATCAGGTATATAAAAAATAAACAGGAGATGCATATATTGATCAAACTTTTACCATGAATTGGAATGAATTTGACCTTGAATAATACACTATTCTCACAACTGGGTGAGGCGAGTGATTCTTTGATGAATATGCTCCACTGCATGTCCTGGTCAGTGTCACATCTGCACCCGTCCCAATGAGCTGCCCTCCTGGGCTTTAGTAAAGGCAGCAGAAATCAATCTGACACTGATATACTTATCCAAGTCATGTCTGTCAGTCAATGGTATAGTATAGCGTTTAGTGGTATGTGTATGGTGCATTGAATTGTGTACAAGTGGTGAGTATTGTGTATAGTGTAGTGTACAGTGTACATGGGGTGAATATGGTGTATGGTGTATTGTATACTGTATGTGGGGTGAGTATGGTGAATAGTGTAGTGTATCATGCGTGATGGGTGAGTATGG